TGTTGTGCTGTGCACTTTACGGAATCTGTGCTGGTGCTTCGCTGGGGTCAGGTGGCAAGTGAAGTATGGGAGTAGTAGGGCCTCCAGCGTCTTCGCGACCGGGGAAAGGAGCGTTATCGGGCGATAAGAGTTGTTGTTGGGTCCGTTGAGATTCCGTCGGGTCCAATCGCTTTGGAGGCTTTCGCCCTCCCGATGGCCCCCTTCACTTCACAGCTGGTGAAAACAAGTAGTGCACTGTTTTTCGGCAGCCTGTGCAGACTCCTGGTCACTCGACGTTTGGCCTTGTCTACCGAAGGGTGCAGTGTGAATTGCCTTCTAAAGTAGGCTGCGCATTTCTTCGGGTCCGACGAGGCGCGACCTTTGAAAGAGATTTCGACTCTGTCATCACGCTTCGTTGGGTTGGACAGGAACCTCACGGTTGACCAGAGCTTACTCACACCAGATGTGAAGTTACAGGCCTTCAAGTGCTCCTGCCACTTTTTCCGCTTATGCTGATTTACCAGTTGCCGAATCTCCAAATTAAGGTCCCTCGAACGGGGGTCCCCGGGGTCGACCTGGCGTAGGTGGTCACGCTCATTTGCTAGTAAAGCTGGTTCGGCCCGGAAATTTGGGCGGACGTCCGGACGGGATGAAGCGAGCCGCTGCGGCAGTGACTACCCTGCGGAACTGGCGTTCGCCAGTATGTATGTTTGTGGGTGTGGGAAGGGGGCGAAGCTGCTCTCGGTGACTTCCGCGAAGCCGTCCCAATCAGCTTTGTTGAAGTTGGTGTAGGTTCGGTGGTCCGCGGGAGCAAAGTCGGTGGGCTTATTGATCGAGATGATTATGGGTAGATGGTCTGATGCTAGTGTTAGCATAGGTCGCCATGAGATCCTATTGATCATACCAGAGCTAGCAATTGTGAGGTTTGGCGAGCTGCTGCAGCTACCCATAATCCTGGTGGGGGCGTCGTCGTTCATGGTGCAGAATGTCGAATCGTCTATCTGCTCAGCCAAAAGGTTTCCCCTACGATCATTGGCCAGGCTTGAGTGCCAGAGATCGTGGTGCGCGTTGAAGTCGCCTACTACCATTCGGTTTTCACCTCTGAGTAGCGCACCTATGTCAGGGTTATATCCTTCCGGGCAGCAGGTGACAGGGGGTATATAAACGTTGAATATTTCGACCTCGGCATCGCCTGACCGGACAGCTATGCCGTGACATTCTAGGGCGGTGTCCCTCGGGTCGATATCTTCTTCGATAAGCCGATACTGCACTGTGTGGTGTAATATGAACGCTAGTCCGCCACCATTATCTCGCTCGCGATCTTTACGGAGCACATTGGGAGGTCTGCTGCTGCCCAGAGGAGCTTCTCGGACCCGTGCAGGCTCTTCGGGTGTTGGGTGCGTTGCGCGAGCGGGTAGCCGTGGAGGCTGATTGTGCCGTTTGGCTTGAGCAGCAGGGAGCCACATAGCTTGTGGTCCACTCCCGATGAGACCTAAGACCAGAGCAGGTTCTTAGGTGACTCCATCCGTTGCATGAATTGCACCTAACCGAAGTGGAGTTTGGATGGAGTCGATTCTGGCAAACAGCAGAAATACGTTTATGGTCCGGAGTTGGGCTCTACGCCCGCCCAGAGAAGAAGGATGCGGAGCAATCCGGCTGCAGGGAGTTGCTCCATGGGCGAGGGGTATCGCCGATCTAAGCGGGTTTAGGTCGCCGAAACAACAGACCTTGGTCGGGTAAAACCCGAGACATTCCGGTACGTAGAACCGGCTGTCTTGGGAATGACTACTTTTTTTTACTCGTCAAAGTTGCTGTTCCGCAATGCTGCAATGTAATTAAATTTTATGTTTCTGCTAGAGCTGTCAAACCATCGATAGTGGGACCACTCGGTAGTTTGCGATAGTTTAGTTTAGTTTACTATCGCTACTATCGAAACTTTTTTTATTATATATTAAGCATATTTTCTTTTATTTCTATAAGTGTACAGTAATCAATACCCAAAAAAATAATTAGAAAGAACGTAATCGGCCCTATTATGGTTGTCGAGATCGATGTTGATGTATTTTTTTTTATCAAAAAATAGCCCTCGTAAGTCTTACTCTAGCTATCACAGGAAGAGCGTAGCTGGAGTTGGACCTACGAGGACTAGTTTTTGTTGAAAAAATGACATCGACGTCGACGTCGAAAAACATAATAAGGCCGAATATTATTTCCAAAAACTCAAAACAAATCTTTATTATTTCACTAAGAGACTTAGTTTTAAATTTGTGTAATTATATATCGCACGTTTAATAATTGTCGAGGACATGGGTCCGAATTTAATCGACCTTTAAATATTAAGAGGTATATTTTGCATACTACTTACCTGAATGAATACTTACCTGAATTAATACTTTAAATTTGTCAAAATGAAATACTTGCTTGTATACCTATACACTCACATAAATACTTATAATAAATAAAGTGATTTGTGAAATCGTATAAATCAAATTAAAACTCTTTTATTCATTTGAGTTATGAATATGGTGCCGAAACCCTATTATTAAGGAACCAATATAAATTTCTATATAAAGTATATAAAAGAAAAAACCAAAAACAATTATACGCAAGTCCGTTAACGACACTTAAAACGAAAAAGGTAGCGAGCGAAGTTGCGGAAAACGAGTTAAGTCGTGTTTTTTTAACTGCGTGCGCATCTACGAAAGTTTGATGATAAAGTTTATTTTTTTAAACCAAGACATAAAACTCGGCTCGGGCAAATAAAAAAGTTTAATTAAACTGCAAAAAAATAACATAAAGTGAAAAAGGAAAAAAAATACATGCACACATAAAGAAACGAAAAATAGCAGTGCAAATAAAGTGAACAAGTGGGTGCGAAAAAACAAAAACAAAAAAAGTAATTGGCCGACCAACAACAAATATAGGCGACATACCGCAGGCAAGTACCCGTCAAGCGCACCAACAACAACAGCAAGAAGCCAAAGGCAATTAGCCGTAGAAGCCGCCAGCAACAACAGCAAGGAGGGCGCCAGCAGCCCTTGGCAACAAACAGCCCCATAATAGCAAGAAGACGCACAAAATCCGCCCAACAACAGCAACGGCAAGTAGCCCACAAGACGCCGGTAAGCAGCAGCACAACAACAATAGTCAGCACCCACACACAAATACTCAGCCGCGGTTTGTAAAAAGAGGAATGCCCAAGTAAGTCCATCTATTACTTATCGAAAGAATAAAAGGTTTAGCGGATTTCCCAACTGGTACATGAAAACACGGATCTTTCATATACTGCAAAAAAATTAAATAAATACATAAATTCGTGCGTAATTTTCCCGCGCATTTGCTCATATATTTACACACATATCTACTCAAAATCCCAAATCCGCTAAACTAAATCCACATATACGTATATATATTTAGCGGACCCCAAAGGCGATAAAAATAAAAACCCTCAATTTGATTTACCGCTCATTTTTGCGCACACACATATTAACATTTATATATGAAATTCCCGCGCTTTTCCTTCTGCCCTATACAATCTCAAAAAATAATATCCGCTAAGTATAAATACATATTCTCGTACATAAATCCGAAAATAACACCATACGTATATATATAACGGGTGATTTTTTTGAGGTTAGGATTTTCATGCATT